AGGATTGCCTGGGATGGAAAGCCTGGGCATCCAGACCGAGAGTTGTAAATGCACAGGTTGTAAATGCTGTGGTGGGGATGCAATGAGGAGGTGTCCACTTGAGGTTGTAGGGCAGGAGAAGTGGCTGCACAGGTGGGGCCAGGCGCTGCACAGCATTAGAAGTATTTGCTTGGTGGGAAGCATTGCCGCAGGCTTTTATTGTGGAGAAGAGGTGGAGACCCTGCGTCGTGCCAGGAAGATGGACAGGGTATGGGGGGGCTGGATTGGATCCATCTTTGGAGTGAAACAGTCTTGGGGGCTGGTGGTGTTACCTCGCACCTGCCATTCTTCCTCTCAGTGAAGACAGCAGGGATGCCTTGGACTCTGCTGTGAAAACCAGGCCTCAGTACCCCTCTCCCAGCCCTGTCTCTCTCTTGGAGCATGTGTCCAGGCTCATCTTTGTAACTCCACGTGGGCTTTTCATGTGGGGACCCAGAAGTCCTGCAGGTATGGCCAGGAGAGGGCAGTGGCAGTTGTAGGCAGCGACCGGGGAACACCACTATAGCCTTGGGATCCTCCAGAGCTGGGGTCACATCCCAGCTTGGCCGCTTGCTCAGTGACCTCGGGCAGGTTGCTCTGCTCTCAGAGCCATGTGGTTTCCCCATCCTTGAGATAAACATGGGTCATCGTGAGGTTCTGTGAGTGGCTAGACTGCAATCTTTTAGGGGAGAGCCCGTTCCAAGTCTGGCCTGGAGTAAGTGCTTGGGAAATAGTAGCTGCTGATCCTCTGAAGTTCTTGTCTTCCCTCATCCTGAAGCCCGAGCTGGGCTGGAGTCAGGAGAGTGGCGGGGGTGGGGGGTCGGAAGAGTGACTTATGGTATTAACTTGGGCCCTGACCACTGGAGGTCATGTAGCTCAATTCCTAGCCTCCTGGCAGGATGTCTTCTAGTCCTGGCAACATGGCAGTTCCCTTAGCCCTAGATCATTACTCTGCCTGCCCCTTCTCTGACACACACCCCTCAGCCCTAGAGCTAGATTGATAGGATCGTCTGTCCTTCTCACTCACTGGGGATAAGCTGTTTCTTGTGCTGGCTCAGCGACTTTGGCTGCCATCCCAGGAAGACAGGGTCTGTCCTGGCCTGCATGTTCCTTCCACTTGAGGTCCCAGGAGACCTTGAAGGCATCCTTAGGCTTGGTGCTGGCAGTTGGGGAACACCCTGCAGGGTCTTGGAGTCTAGGCTATGTGTGATCAAGCCACTTATTCCCTGGCCATGGAATGGGGCAATGGAGTATGTGGCAGTGGTGCTCTGCCCTTGTACTGCGCGGTTCTGCTGGGACTGCTGCTTCTTGCTCTGTGTCAAATGTTGCCAAAGGGTTGCGTTGAGCACAGAGTCTAGAGTCCGATAAACTTTGGTCCAAATCCTCACCCCACCACATACCAGCTGTGTCACTGTGGACTCCTGACAGCCTCCCTGAGACTCAGTTTCCTCACTGGAAATTGGGGGTAGGGCTAGGGAGGAAGGCATCTACTTCACAGAATTGTAATGATTCGGTGAGAAAATGTATGTAAAGAACTCAACACGAAATACACAGATAAAGCATAGTAGCTGTTATTATCTGGGGAAATGCACTGCTGTTTTCATAATACAATCCACAGGAAATAAAACATTCTTGGCTTTGTGGGAGGTGGAAAAAAAAAAAGATTCTCAGTCTGGGGCCTGAGATTTTTGTTTAGCAAATGGCCCAGTGGTTTAAAAAGGTTGAGAAAATGTGACATAAAGCTCCAAGTTTGAGAGTGATCTGTCTATCTCCCAGGCCCTGCAGCTTCTTGAGCCAGCAAGCCAGAACTGTTTCCACTCCAGGGCTCATGGTGGGTAGAGGGTCTGTGGGGCATTCAGCCGCCGCTGGTGGGTGTGGAGGGTGGAGCCTGATTCCAGGCCTGGTATTCCAGAGGTAGGCGTTGCTCCTGCCTTATCGCCCAAGGGCACTCTTGTGTGCCTTTCTGTGCGCTTACATGCTCTTGTTCTATGTCTGTATCTATCTTTTAGCTCCGTGGAGGGCCTTTCTGGTATGTGTGTCCCTGTCCTTCCGGGGTGTGGACGGTGCCCGGGACCCAGCCAGCAACCAGTTGAAGACATTCTCCTTGGAAGCTCTTGACCTGGGGGATCTTGCCTGGGGTGCTGGCCCTGCCATGGCATTCAGGAGGACCGAGGGCATGTCCATGATCCAGGCCTTGGCCATGACAGTGGCCGAGATCCCTGTGTTCCTATATACGACGTTTGGGCAGGTGAGGATTGGGACGGGCTGTGGTCCTGCTTTTTACCCCTCTGGTCCATGAAACACTGAGATACTCAACGCAGGGTCTCCCATTGTCCAGGAAAGCCGTGCCCTCATTATTGCTGTCCCAGGCATCTGGTGTTTCTTTGAGCAAAGTAAGGACTGGTTTAGGAGTCTCAGGCCTGAACCTGGTCTTTGCCTTAAGACTATGTGAACTCTTGACCTCAGTTTCTCAGTCTGTAAAAGGGGTCAGTAGTGCCTTCCCTGGCAACCTTAAATGTTTGCAGCTGGCTGGGACTCTTGATGCTGCCTAAAGCTCTGCCCTGTGGGATGCAGTCCCACCCAAGGGGCACCCAGTCCAGTGGGCAGAGGGGGTGGTTGGGTGGAGTGAATGTCTTGGTCCTCAAGGAGTTGTTAAGAAATGGGGGTCAGCAGACCTGGGTTCAATTTCTGTCTCTCTGTCACCTTGAACATGTGTCTTAACCTGTGTGAGCCTCAGGTCCCGCGTCTGGAAAAGGATGGGGATTGAGGCAGGTACCACGGGTCAAGTCCTAGTTCGGCGCCTGGCGCAGCAGGCGCTTGCTCACTGCTGCTGTTACAATCATGAGCAGCGGTGCTGGGGACACCTGCTGGGCCCCAGCTCATCTCCCGGGCATAGGCATTTTGCCGTCTTTGTATCTCTGTGGTCCGCATTTCAGAGAGGCTGGTCAGGTTCCGTTTCTGGCTGCCTCTCAGTCACGCCTCTGGTCAGCAGATGTACTCTGAGCACCCAGTGTGTGTCCTGTACCCTGGGTGTTCTCGGGGCCGCTCTGCCGCCTCGGGCCTTCCCTAGGGAGATGTCACCTGGCTGCCTCCCTCTTTCCTGCAGTCTGCATTCTCGCAGCTGCGGTTGACACCAGGCCTGCGCAAGGTCCTCTTTGCCACAGCCCTGGGGACCGTGGCCTTGGCCCTGGCTGCCCACCAGCTGAAGAGGCGTCGGCGGAGGAAGAAGCAGGTTGGCCCTGAGAGGGGAGGTGAGCAGCTGGGCACAGTACCCCTCCCTATCCTCATGGCCAGGAAGGTCTCTTCGGTGAAGAAAGGTAGGTGTGAGGTGGGGGGGATGGGCCTCACCTGGGGTCGCGTCCTAGCTGGGCCACTATTAACTGTGGGATCTTGAGCTAGTGACTTCCTGTCTCAGAGCCAAGTTCCCCTCATCTGGGAGCAGGATGATAGTACAGCCCCCTTCCTTGAGTCATTGTAAGCGTTCCGTGGGTGGTGCAGCTGGATTCCCAGGGGGTGGTGGTGGCTCTGGTTGTTCTCATTATCTGAACACCCTTTGCGGGCATCCAGGTCCACGGGGGCTGGTAGGGGAGGCTCCTCGTTCTGGGGAATGACGTTCTCCTGGGCTAAGGCATGCAAGGGCCCTGTAGTTCTTGAACCACACAGCATTCCTTTTATCCTCTTCTGTTTTAGAAATTAAGGTTTCGTGTGCATGCAGTAAGAGTCATGCTTTTTATTTTTTTATTTTTTATTTTATTTTATTTTTTTTGAGACAGAGTCTCACTGTGTTGCCCGGGCTAGAGTGCCATGGCATCAGCCTCGCTCACAGCAACCTCAAACTCCTGGGCTTAAGCGATCCTCCTGCCTCAGCCTCCCGAGTAGCTGGGACTACAGGCATGCACCACCATGCCCAGCTAATTTTTTCTATATATTTTTAGTTGTCCAATTAATTTCTTTCTAATTTTAGTAGAGACGGGGTCTTGCTCTTGCTCAGGCTGGTCTCAAACTCCTGAGCTCAAACAATCCGCCTGCCTCGGCCTCCCAGAGTGCTAGGATTACAGGTGTGAGCCACCACGCCCGGCCTAGAGTCATGCTTTTTAGTGTACAGTTCTATGAGCTTTGGCACACATGTAGTCATGTAACTACCCCTGTAATCAAGAACCGTTCTATCACCTGCTAAGTCCCACCGTGTCCCTTTGTCGTCAGCCCCTCTCTTCTGCCCCCACTCCTGGCCGCCACTGATCTGTTTTGTGGCTGCTGATGTAGTTTTAAAAAACTCCTAACAGCTTATATTAATCTTGCAATGCAGATACCCAGTGTGTGCCACATTGGATGTTCTCTCAATTTCTTTCCAAGGCGAGGAGTTCTTGCCTTGCCGGGCTCTCATCTTGGGGGAAACTTGTTTTAGGAGACAAAAGTCTGGCTGGGTGCAGTGGCTCACGCCTGTAATCCTAGCACTCTGGGAGGCTGAGGTGGGAGGATCCTTTGAGCTCAGGAGTTCGAGGCCAGACTGAGCAAGAGCGAGACCCTGTCTCTACTAAAAATAGAAAGAAATTAGCTGTACAACTAAAAATATGTAGCAAAAAAAATTAGTCGGGCATGGTGGCGCATGCATGTGGTCCCAGCTACCTTTCCTGGCTGTCTTTTGTGTATTTTAAAAAGTTGTTGCCTCAAATCTCTTTTGGAAGGAGAATCTGAAACCAGCTACTCAGTCAACAGCCCAGGGAGGCTAAGAAGGCAAGGAAGTAGCCGGACCTCATTCTCCGCTTATCCGGCAAATCTGGGTCCCTCTTCTGGACCCGGCCCTGTGTTGGGTGACAGGGATGTGGCAGTGAGCAGGACAGTAAGGAGAGGCTCTGTGCACATACTTGGGGCTCTGCCGTTACCCTGACTTAGGACAGGTTTTCAGATAAGGAGGAAGCGGGGTGGCTGGGGCATCTGTACAATAGCCAGATGAGACATCTGCGTGACCCTGCCCTCCACTGTCTCCACAGGCTACTCCAGCCGGAGGGTGCAGAGCCCCAGCAGCAAGAGCAACGACACACTCAGCGGCATTTCCTCCATCGAGCCCAGCAAGCACTCGGGCTCCTCCCACAGCGTGGCCTCGGTGAGCAGCGGGGAGCAGGGCGCCCGGCCCAGCCCTTCCTGAGGACTCTGCCCTTGGGAAGCCTGTGGACTGGTAGGGAGAGCGGAGAAGAGGTTTCATTCATTCCTTCATTCTCATTCACTCATCCCTCCATGCAGGCTCTCAGAGATTGTCACTGATTCCTTCCTGTGCCAGGCACTGGGGGAGCAAGGTGGATGGGGCAGAGGAGAGACACTCACTGATGGTCTCTGGGGGAAGTTCCATGTCTGTGAAAGTGTATATTCATTCGCTCGACGCTTCTGGGTTGTGCCAGGGCCTCTGCCGGGCACTGGGGACGTGGAGATAAGTGTGACGCAAAGATTGTCTTTTCTTGGGGAGTGGCTTTGGTTCATTCACTCATCTAGTTGTTAGTTCATTCAGCTAGCACTGAGTCCCAGCTCTGAGCCAGGCCCTGCCCTGGGGACACGGGGGCAAGCAAGAGATGGTTCTTGTCCTAGAAGAGCCCACAGCGTGGTAGATGGTGGATGAGAGGCGTGGGCGACGGCCAGGGCCCTGCCCGGCCTGCACATAACGAGAGCTCTCTGGCTCCCTTGCCCGACCAGTAGAGGAGCTTCACAGCAGGGAACAGAGAGCACTGGCCAGGAGAGAGGCTCGGGGCGGGTTTGTAGGAGGCTGCTGCTTCCTGGCCTGGCATTGGCTTTGGTGTTTCTTCTGTGACGCATGGGTGCTTGCTTGGAGTTTGTGGGTCCAGGCCGTACTTAGCGTGTGGCCTCTGTGGCCAGGGCTAGCTCAGGGATGGCATGTGGAGAGGGCACGAGGCGTATGGTCAGGTAGTGGGGAGGTCTCGGGGTCCTGCAGAGAATCTGGGATGGCTTCACTCTTTGTCCTTGCATCGATCCGTGCCCAGATGATGGCTGCGAACTCATCCAGCCCCACACCTGCGTGCTCGGGACCGTGGGATGCCAGAGGGATGGAGGAGTCTTTGACCACCAGCGAGGGCAACGCTGAGAGCCTCTACATGCAAGGTGCGGGCAGGAGGTGCCCCGGCCTCAGGGGCAGGGTGGGTGGCAGGAATGGCCTCCTCCTGGGAGCCTGAGCTCAGGTCACTTCTCTGGATGCTGCTTTGCCCCCTGCCGCCCGTTCTGCCCTAAACCCTTTATTCAATGCTTTTTAGCCATTTCTGGACAGGGGACAGTGTCCAGGAACAAATCTGGTCTGAATGAAGGCCTGAAAACTGACCAGCCCTGAAAAAGTGATCCATCCCCTGCCACACGGTCCTGTCCTGTTCTTGTCCTTCAGGGCCCTCCTGCCTCCTCGCATTCTGAGCCCCCTCTTGAGTGAGACTGGGGGGCCTGATTCTCTCTTCTCTCCCTGCCTATGCTCAGGCATGGAGCTGTTCGAGGAGGCTCTGCAGAAGTGGGAGCAGGCGCTGAGCGTGGGCCAGAGAGGGGACAGCACACCCACCCCGGGGGACAGCCTCAGGAACCCGGAGACTGCTTCAGAGCCACTCTCTGAGGTAGGTGGTCTTCTCTGTGTTTCCTGCCCCACCCCACCGTGGGACAAGGTTGGTAGCATGGAAGAGAGGGCGGCCAGCCCTTGCTGCTGCTAGCAAGCCTCTTATCCCCTGGGACTGTCTTGTCTCCCTCTACAAGGCTATTATTTAAATTAAGTAAAACAGGCTGGGCGCGGTGGCTCACGCCTTTAATCCTAGCACTTTGGGAGGCTGAGCGGGGAGGACTGCTTGATTGGGGTCAGTAGTTCGAGACCAGGCTGAGCAAGAGCGAGACCCCATCTCTACTAAAAATAGAAAAAATTAGCCAGGTGTGGTGGTGCACACCTAGAGTCCCAGCTACCCCGGGGGCTGAGGCAGGAGGATTGCTTGAGCCCCGGAGTTCGAGGCTGCAGTGAGCTATGATGACGCCACTGCACTCCAGCCTGAGTGACAGAGTAAGATCGTGTCTTTTAAAAAACCCAAAACACCCCAAATTAAATACAACGATTTGTGTCACATGCTTAGCACAGTGCCTGGCACTTGGTAATTCCTCAGTAAACAAAAGTGTGAGGACAGTGAGGCCCTCCTGTCAACTCTGGAAGGAAACATGCATTCCCAAAAGACCAGAGGGAAGAGGACTGTTCAGAGCTAATTGGATTGTGGGGCCTTTGGTTTTTCTTTATACTTTGTTTTTGGCACCATCCAGTTGAATATTTATTATTTCA